GAGAGAGAGAGAGAGAGAGAGAGAGAGAGAGAGAGAGAGAGAGAGACTGGAACACTGGGAAAACCATCATGGAAAGACTTGCTTTAATAAAACTGAGTTTCGATGCTGGCATGGTATCCAAAATATAATTTTCCCAATAGAGAATTAACCACTCAGACAATGCACAGAAAATTACACTAGGAACTTAATGCTTCCTTTGTAATTCTAATTCTAAATTAACATACAGATTAACATACAAATGCAAACAAGATTAAGTTATTGTATGGAGCAATCTTAGAATGCTATATATTACAGATCTTTTTGACTCATAAGAATGATGATTGGATGCTCACATCATTATGTGGAATTCCTCTCTCACACCTTGTTTTGATGTCAGCATATTACCCATCTGACAAGAAAAAAAATGGTTCTACATTATAAAAAGGACACTCTATAAATAAATTTAAAATCCATATCCTCCAGGCAGTAAGACTCAGAACAAGGATACATACAGCAACATGTTCAAAACTCTGCTTCACTATGTTACATAAAATATGTATATAAAGGTCGGGCTATGTGGCATGTGAATAAATTATAATTATCTATCATAATTCAGAGATGGAAAGCAGATTATATGACTACCTGAGCTGAAGGAACTCATATATGACGTAGTACATATCATTTAAAAATCATCCTTTAAGGCAGGTCTGATAGAGTATACCTGACCTGTAATCCCAACACTTGGGAGGTAGACACAGGATGATCACTATGAGTTTGAGGCCAGCCTGGGTGCCATAATGAAAAGCCAGCCATCTTGGACACCACAGTGAGTCCCTGTCCCTCAAAACCAAATGTTATACAGCCATTGCCTCCAAACTGAACCAGTCCTTTCTGAAGGGAAGAACATGGCTCATGAGAAACTAATAAAACACACTAGGCTCAAGAAACTCCAAAGAGTTCCAAGATTCACAACAGCAATCAGCTGTCTGCGGGAGGATGGTTTACTGGGCCTGTCTGCAAGTTGTACAGGGAGCTTTAGGGGTGCAGTTCTCTTGAGTGGTCACCCATGCTAGGATTGGCTTTTTGGTGATGCAACATCCTCTGAGTCATCCACACTGCTGCAAACAACCCTCATTCAAGCTCCCATAAGTAACTCCAGTAAGCACATCAGTTCAATAAAACAGACTGAAATAGAATAGTTTCTTCAGTTCGTCATGTGTGCCCTACCTAGGGTGAAGAGACATCTGTTCATGTCTCCTCAGAAAAAGTCATAACACCAAAAGATAAAAGAAATCAACTTTAAGTATTATTTCTGCTTTTACAATTTCTGTGTACACTGTTTCTTCTATATTGAGTGCTCAATGCAATCCTCAGTTTTTAAGTCAAATAAGAAAAAAAAATCACATTGGGGGTTGAAAGCAATCACCAGCGTGTCTGTCTTTATACCTTAAGTTCGTACAGGACTTGCAGTGCAAATAATAGCACACAGTAGTGGAAAGCAGAGATAATGCCTACAGTTATCCAAGGAGAATTGAAATGGGAGGCAAACTTCACGTTTACCAGCCCAGTGGGTAAACCAGCACAAATCACTTCAATCATCATCTTACCCACACTGATAACCCTTTCCAGCATCTCAGCCTCCATTTATTGACCCCTTCCAACCCACCAGCTCTCAGCTTTTCTCTCTCCATCCACCTGTGTCACACCTTGGACCTTATCATCAAACAGAACTGCTATAGGGAGCAGCTTAAAAAGCCTCTGGGGTAGGGCATAGTGGCTCATGCCTATGACTCCATCACTAGGGAGGCAGAAGCAGGAGGATTACTCCAAGCTCCAGGCCAGCCAGGATAGATAGAGACCCTGTTTCAAATAAACAACAAAATCCCTCTAGAATGGCTCTAATCATTAGCTTATTGAACTAGCCATCCATTTGATTTTTTTTAAATTTCCAGCCCTACGCCCACCCTATTCCTTTGTCCTTATCAGTTACCTCTCCATCTAGACACTGTTCAGTCATTTCAAAACAGTATTCCTGTGTTCAGGAACTACTGCTCCTCAGCTCCCACACAGTCCCTTTGCCTTCCTTCTCACCTGGTAAACTCTACCTCTTTGATATGAGGAACAAAATGATGCAAAACCAATCAATGGTTCATTTTCTTTTACTCATCTGTTTAATCAATACCTCCTGAGCAATAAGTACAAGCAGCAAAAGAAACGTGTTCCTATTTGGAAATTCATTTTACAGTGGCCTATCTTTTTTTTTATGAGTTTCCTAATAATATTTCAAACACTGGTGCATCCATCCATGAATCCTCACAGCAATCCTGTGAGGAGGAATAATGTTATTGTCTCCTTACACACAGGAGGAAACTGAGGCACAGAAAGCTTAAGGTGATTGCCTGGAGCCCCCGAGCTTAGAAGTAATGGCATTAGGGCTCAAAGATCTTCTGTCCTGGATCTACACCCTGATTACAACATCTTGATGAGGAAAAGAGGGAGAGGACAGGCACCCAGAAAAGTCAGTAGAAGCGGATGTGCAGGTCATGGCTTTGTACTTGCTTTGCGTGGTCTCGCAACCCAAGCCCCCATGCTGTACAACAGAGCATTGCTAAAAACTCTAGAGACCCATTCCCTACTCACTCTCACCCTCCTGGAGTCTCCTGATAGCACACTTCCCTGCTGCAGATCTGGGTGGACACATCCTTTCCTTTGGGACCTCTTCAACTGCACCTTCCTGCTCTGCTCTCCCCATCATCCACAGCCTTCCTCCTTCGCTGACTAAATGAGGACATTCCTCCATCTTTGATTCACAGTCCCCCCCTCTCTGGCCATGTGCCATCCCTTGGCAGTTCATTTCCACAGTGCGCTTCCTACAAACTTGCACAGTTTGCGTGGAGGTGGACTGAGGGGTAAAGTCCACCTGCAGGGACCTTTCCTTCTTGCCTGAGCTACATGCTCTTCCACTCATAGGAAATTTCCCTGCACCGGCCCTTCCATCTGATGCAGATGATCTCGATTGTATGTAGGATCTGAAGGGATGAAAGCCAGCTCTTCAGAAACAGAGGAGAATGGGAGGTACCATGGATGAGAAGGAAGAGGAAATGATACGCATAGGTCAAAAAGAGCAGCGTCGTACAGGATGAAACACTTAGCGATTTGTTGCACAACAGGAATACTAAAGGAATAATATGGTATTATTAAAAAAAAAAAAAACCTGGCCGTTAAAAGGCTAGGTTTTAGGTCCTAGTTAAAAAACAAATAGGCTGAAGATGACTCAGTGAGTAATAGTATATATGGCTCTTGCAGATAACCCAAGTTCAGTTCCCAGCACCCACCCTGGGCAGCTGTCAACCATCTGTAACTTCAGAGCCAGATGAACTTGATGTCTCTGCCTCCTGCAGGCACCTGTATTCACATGCAAATACACCCACACAGGCACACACAGACACAAAAATCTTAAAAATAAAATAGTTTCAATAAACAAATTAAAGGGCTCCAGAGAGATATGAAGAATGACAGATTTTCTTGTTTCTCTTTAGTACCTTTCTTTATGTGTGTATACATCTACATATGTAGAGAGATATACACATACATACCCATATGCCAAAACATGATGCTGTGCACATAAGCTAAGCAAAATTCTTTAAAACTAAGGCTTAATCTCTATTTCTCTCTTTAAAAATGCTCCCGCAGACTGTCCAAATGGTACAAATGAGTCCACATTCTCCAGGTCCCGAGGCTATAATTGCAGCTGTTCTGACATTCTCCCTATCTCTCAAACCGCACTTCCACTTAGTCACCAAAACCTACTGAATGTACTTCCTTAGGAACTTCCAAATCTTTCCAATTTCATTATTAATAACAACCTCTATTATTCTCTCCTTCCTCCAGTTCATTATGAATACTCCCCAGGCATAACTGAACCATACTAACTGGGCAGGTCTCCACTGCTCCACCAAATGCTAATTGTAAGTAAAAATCCCTAGTCCCAGAAAATATCTCACAATCTCACAATCTGCGGAGACTTCCATGTTTGCTCAAGCAACATGTTGTGCTTTGTTCGCTCCTCATAGAACTTCAGTATAACAAATCCTCCCTGGTAAGGTTGGAACTAACTTAGGCATCCATGGCCTTATATAATCATATCAGTAGTTGGGTCATTCCCTGTCCCACATCTGTTTTCTCTTATTCTAGTAATAGAATTTCATTTTCCTTTAGGGAACTGCCCCTCCTCAAGTGTTGGACTGCCTAGCAGAGATCAACATTTCACTCACTTCAAAGCTAGACATGTGGCCCAAGATGACCCGCCCATGAACCTCTATCCCCTTAGACAAATTACTGGCCCAAATGTGGGGGACATGATTCCATTCAATGATCAGAACACACTATATTCCTTTTGGGGGTTTAATGCCACTGCCAAGTAAGAGAAGTACTATGACTCACGTGAGTTTTGAGGCTTTGTGAAAAACATTTCCCTAAGAACGAAGCTCACTCATGGAAATGAGGCCATCACAGACATTACCATCACCTCTGACTTTTGAGCTAGACAAGCCCACAATCACTCTCTTAAAAACAAAATAACTTGGCTATAGATATTCAGAATTCACCGTTCTTCACATAAGAAGGTACCCAAATACCTAAGAGCTGACTATAAGGCACACATGCCAACTGCCTTAAATACACCTCTGTCTGAATTGTGAACGTTCCTAGGATCAAACTCATTAATATTTCTATAATAAAACAAAGTCATACTGTAGTTAATGAAGTTAGTTAAGGTGAGAATACAGGTTGTTATGAAAAAAGTATAGACAACATAAATTCTGTAAAAAAAAAAAAAATTACCTGCTGTTTTCAGAAGTGTGAATGTAGATCTGTCTCAACCAATAAAATCCCTTTGTGCTGGGCAGTGGTGGTGCATGCCTTTAATCCCAGTACTCAGGAGGCAGAGTCAGGTGGATCTCTGTGAGTTCGAGGCCAGCCTGGTCTACAGAGTGAGATCCAGCACAGGCACCAAAACTACACAGAGAAACTCTGTCTCAAAAAAAAAAAAATCCCTTTGTGTCTTTATCTGCTTACATATTTGTGTATTTAAGTGACAGTGGTTGAGTTCCAGGCACCTGTATCTGAAAATGTTCCCTCTGCATTCTTTACAGGCCTCCAGTGTTTCAAGTTTTACTTCTTCACTATTCTTTTATATACATTCACAGTGGGGTTAAATTAAAAAGATGTTATTTTGATTATTGAAATAAAAGGTCTTGCATAATTGGCAAGCACCAGGCCTGTCCAACCAGGAGACTGTAAGGCATAGTTGGCTCATGAGTTGCCTCAAGCTCAAAACTGTGTTCATGGCTCTTGTGCAAAAGCTTAGATAGCCCTCGGTCTCCTCTTAGGCAAAAGCAGGTACAATGCTGTCTC